AATTCACATTTTAATTATATTATAAATGTATAAGTAGAATTATGAGGAGAATTTGTACATCAGCTATTTCATTTAAAAAAAAGAATCAAATATTAATCTCACACTGACAGTCGAACAACAAACGCCTACGCTGTGGAGACTATTTCAGTTTAAGCCCAAATGGCAGCTCGTTGCTGCTGGTTGTGGCATTAAGCGCTAAAGCTGGACAAATATTTGACGTCGGATGGTTCCAACGCTCAGCGCAAACTTGTTTTACACGGCGTTTGGTGTCGACAGCAGCTCGTCCTCTTGTGTATTTGCTGTTGAGGCTTGTACGTAAACCCTTTGACATCCGCTCATCAATGAGGGGATACGTGTAAAACTTTCATTTAAATCATGTACGTGCACGATCGGGACACTAAAATACGGCGAACAGCATCCCAGCGCTGCCAAAACACGTCTGAGCAAAGTTTACTCTGCGTTTAAGTGTAATTAGCTGACTTACTTCCAAACGCTTGGAGGGAGCTGAAACCCAGAGCCTTCTTCACGTCGCTTCTGGTTATTCTGCAGTATTCACATGAAGGTCCTCCCTGTGAAGGAAACGAGTCAAAATAAAGTCACATTAAACACTTTCAGCTGCTTTCATCCTGCGAGCGTTGATTATTGCATTATTATACATTAAACCACGAGGACTTGGTGAATATTCACACCAACAGCTGCAGGTAAACGCTCACTTTCCACCACTTTGTTGGCTTCACCTGTTCAGCTGCTCGCAAATATCTAATCAGCCAATCACACGGCAGCATTCAGGCTTGTAGACGAAGTTCAAACCGAGCATCAGAACGGAGAAGAAACTTGACTTTTATTGGTTTTTGGTGCCCTGCTGGGATCTTCACCCACAAACCTCTCAGGAAACAGTCAGAAAAAGAGAAATAATCCAGTGAGCTGCAGTTCTGTTGATGCCAGAGAAGAACGAGCAGACTGGTTGGAGATGAGACAACGGCGACGGGAACTCAAACAACCAACCAAAGGATGTAGAAGACCATCTCTGAACAAAGCAGCAGAAGAACAAACCGACGACCCAACCTGTCGGCTAAGAGCAGGAACCTGAGGCTACAATTTACCAAAACTGGACCTCAGAAGATCGTAAAAACGTTGGATGAGTCTTGATTTCTGGTCAGAATCTGGCACAAACATCATAAAAACATGGATCCATCCTGCTGGTGGTGCAACAGTGTGGTGGATCTTTTCTTGGCTCACTTTGGTCTCCTTTGTGAGAATTGTTTCTGACCATGTCCGTCCCATTTATGACCACAGGAGCTCATCTTCTGATGTCACAAAGCTTAAACCATCTCAAACAGGTTCCTTGAACGTGACAATGGACTCCAACGGCCTCCACAGTCACCAGATCTTGGTCTGTTGTCATGTCAGTATGGATCAAAATCTCTTAAGAACGTCTCCGGCACCTTGTTGAATCTATGCAACAAAGACTTAAGGCAGGTCTGAAGGTATAAAGTGGTTCCAACCCAACACGAGCGAGGTGAGTGTACAGAGGAGGCAAAACAGGCAAATTCTTGGGCCTTCAGAAACAGAAGAACCTCAGATGGCCACTCATATCAGCACATCTTTCAAAGACTACAAACCTGTGTACCTCCCATAAAGGCAACGTGAAACCCTCCTACGTCGGCTTCTCGTCGGTAACATTTGGCTGCTTTCAGGTTTTATTTCCTCCATCTTGATGAGTGTTTATGCAACAGCCTTTTCTGCATCGTGTTACAGTTGTAAAGTCTTTGTGTGAAAGAAAACTGTGACAAAAATACAATCTCGCCAACAAAGGAAGGAATTTGTGCGTCTGACATCTTGACAGCCGTACGTCTGACCTACTTCGGGCTTCGCGGGCGTATCGGTGGGCGAAGCTTGGCTTTAGTTGGCAGCGTCATCAAAGGCAGAGCCGCGCAGACACCAGCAGAACGAGTCGGAGGAATTAATTAAGTGTCAGTCTGTGTGTTCTTTACTCGTTACTTTACGGGTGAGGAAGAGCAGCGTCGGGGTTTAAAGCTCTCACACGTTGGCGAGGACTTGTTTTCCGTTATGGTAACCTCTGAGGTGTCATCATCAGAGGCAAGACGAGGCTTGTGCGTCCCAGCGACGGCATCAAAGTCGACTCCAAACAAGAACACCGTAACGCATTAAAACGAATCTGATCCAGTCTGAAATGTAATCTCTCTGTTCAAAGCTCAGAGTTTAAGATTGAAAATAAAAGCTGTCCGATGTCCATGTGCATGTGCTTTAATATGATATATATATAAATATGAACTTCTACACGGTATCAGAAACAAGTGACGCTGCAGTTTGTAGTTTTTCTGGACTTCACTGTTTATATTGCAGCAGGAAAAAACCGGATCATTCTCGAGCGGCGATTTTGAAGGTGCGTGAAACTGAAAATAAGCAATAATTTCTTTTAAAAAAAGCAAAAAAATGACATTCAGATGTGACTCACACAGAGATTTGTTGCACCGATTTAAACAATTTAGTTGCAGCAACAATTGCAAAAAAATGGCGCTGACGACCTGTAGATGAAACTGACTGGGGCTGCACGATCACGGCCCAAATCACAGTTATTCTGATCGATATTAACGCCACGGTTAGCCCGTTTATCACAATTAATTATTCAATTTGAAGATTAAATATTTTTACTGAAGTTTCATATGTTTCTAACGCACGAATTGGCACCAAAACAAGACTTAAAATAATCTTCACCTGAATTTAAAGCATCTCTGAGAAGCAAAATATTTTTTAAAAACTCAAACATCTGCTTATCTATAGGCAATGCAATGCACAGATGTTCCCTAAACGCCTCACATTCGGCCACAAAGCTGCACCGAGAAGCTTCTAGTCTGCAGTTTAGCAGCTAAACGTCCTGTGAAAAAAGTGAAATAAGGAGTTCTAATTTATCCAAGATGAAACCAAATCATCACGTTTATTTAATCATGAGAAGTCCAAATCATGATTGTGGCTATTATTCCAATAATTTCGCAACCAAATCTTCGGGGTTTTTTTGTTCTTCTGATTTCCACATGTGGAGGCAGCGTGTCGACAACCTCGGTGTCAGAACTCCTGAACACAACTCAGAGTTCTGTCAGGCAGCCTTCTGTTGTGGATTAGTGACGGAAAACAAGAACCGTGGGAGGTGTTAGCGTTCTACGACGTGTTTATCGCGCTGATTAAAAGGTTTCCGCTGCAGCGATACGCCGCCGAGCCAACGAGCCGCCGAGCCAACGAGCCAATCTGCAGCTCACGCCAGCTAGCGTGACTTTTAGCGTTTTTTGCGTTTCTGTCCTTTTTTTTCTCTGACCTGTAAAAACTAAATGAATTCACCACATTCCCTTCGCTGCATCTCTGGGAAGTTAAAAACTGTGTACAAGTCGTAGCCAAACGACCTCGAATGCCATCACGGAGGATATCGATTTTTATTGTTTTTTGCCAGAAATCGTAAATAAGCCTCGAACAAAAAGGAATGTCCTGCACAGCGAGCCAAGCTGGGACCAACACAGGCTATCTGATTTCCAAACATCTGCACACACTTACTCATCACGGCCCGAAACGCTGCATTAGCGCTGACAGCGCCGTCCCACCGGCTCGACACTGACAGGTCCAAAACCAACAAGCAGAGTCTGTTTGTGAGCTGCGTTGGATCGACGGTTGGTTCCCGTCACGGAGCCGAAGCAGAGGAACGAACAGAAGAGCGACTCCTGTCCAATCCAACGGCTGCTCGCTGTGTTCCTCTAATGAAATAAACGTTATAAATGAAGGTGTGGAGGCTCGTTTTCACTTCCTCTGCATGTTTTGAGGAGCTCATTTCACTTTTTTACACATTTAAGCTCATAAACCTGAACAGACAACAAGCATCGTCCTGTCCTGACTGAACAGCTGCAGCTGATCATTCTGATGAATATAGAAACGAGCCTGTTTATCACATTTACTTCTTTGATTTTAGATGCAAACCCCTTTTTTTTTTTACTGTATTTTTACTTTTAACTTAACAAACAGCTGCTTTCAGATAAATTCTACTCACTTACTGAACACCTGCTCATCAACAGACAGTTTACCGACGTTCCCTAAATGCCTCACGAGAAGCTCACTGTGCACAGAGAAGCTTCTGGTCTCCAATCAGCAGCTCAGTTTGAAAAATGGATTAATTTAAATAAAAGTTCCAAAAACTGGAGAAACACTTTAAAAAATGAGACCCCTTAAAGTTAATCTGGTGACCTGTAAAGGGCCCTGAACCCTTATGTTGGGAACCCCTAGCTGACAGAATGCTGCAGTTTTTACCGTCTGATGAAGGAGCCGAGTCCTTTTGATCGTTTCCTGATGACGTCTAGTTTTTCCTCCACTTGCTGCTCGTTCATTTTTCAGTTAAACTTTATTTTCATTTTTATTTTTCAACATTTCTTTGCTCCTTTCACAGCTTTGATATTTTTATTGATATTATTTTTACGTTTATATATTATTTATATAATTTTAATTTATCATCAAGTTGTTTTTTTTTCATTTAATTCCCTTTGAACCTTTATTTATTTAAAGTTATTTACTATTACAACTATAGTTATTATCATCTTCTGCCTTGTGTTTATGTTTCAAACTTATATTTTTCTTTTATTTTACTCGTTCTTTCCTTTTTTATTTTATTATTTTTATCTGCTGTTGTTGTGCTTCATTTATTTTAGGACTCTTTGACCATGTTTCTTGCTATTTGTTTGTTTGTCTTCTGGTTCACGTTCTTCCTGAGTTTCCTTCTTTTCTTTTTTTTGTCCTGTCTGTAAAACACATTGTAAACTAAATATTGTTAATATTAAACATGTAAATACATTTAATGGTGGTCATTCTTCTTCTTCTTCTTAATAATAATAATGCTCGTGTTTCAGGCGCCATATTTCCTCCTCGTGTGTGTTGTTACTTATTTCTTCAGTATAACAACCAGTGTTCGTCTTACTTTTACAGTTTTCTTCATGTCTGTTTTCTTTGTTTTTCTGAGCAACATCTGGCTCCAGCGTTTCCTCTGGGACTAATAAAGTTTGATCTGATCGTATCCTGACTATTTCTGAACTATTTCTGATTCTGATCTTTAACTGATCTCCTCTACACGGTTCTTCTCTTTTCTTGGTTGTTGTTCTGGTGTTTCCTTCCAGCTCTCGTAACGCCCCTGACAGCTTCTCCCGCCGCCCAGGACTCGCCCTGCAGGTTTATGATCGCGACTCGACTAGCAGGTGGAGAAAACCAGCAGAAATGCTGAACGTGCCCGAGGCGCTGCAGAGACTCGCCGAGTGCTCGTCGGTTGGGCAACGACTGTCAGACGGTGTTTGTGGCCTAATTGCTCGCTCGCATGTAACCTGGTGATGAAGCCTGAACCACCAGCCGCTCGGCAAACAACCAGATGTGACAGAATCACAACGAGGCTGAGGGAGCAGGAACTCCAGAGAAACTTCACTGAGACACAAAGTGGAGGTCCTGTAACTCCACAGTCAGTCTGTGTTCACGTGAAGCCGACTCGTCTGTTCTTCTATTTATGAATTCACACGACCGAGGCTGCTATCTTCATCCCAATCTCGCCGCCCGCAGCAACCTATTTGTGCTCAACGTTTTGGACACTTTCACACGGATCAGGTCGGAACACGCAGCAGAGAGCTGGCAGCTTGTTTTTACTGTTTTCACTGAAGGTAAACGTTAAACCAGCTGCGTGAGACGGCGTCTACAGGCAGGATCGAGTACAAAAAAAAACATCCTGAGAAAGAAAGTTTCTGCTGCAAATATGAAGCTTTAACTAAAACGACTGGCTGAGAAGGTTTGTCATCAAAGATGGAGTCTCCAAAGCTTTTTGTTTTGCTCGTCAGTCCCTAAAATCCTGATCAGTGCCGCCTGGATCGTTTCATTTTGAACCTTTAGTGGCTTCAAATGTAAAACAAATCAACGGTTAGAAAGAAAACGTGAAAAATCTGCACATGTGGTTCAGTAGCAGAAGCATTACAGATGTTTACGTGTAATAAATCAGTTTCATGCTGCTAATCTGGCTTTAGTTAGGATTTTATTTTTCTCGTTCGTCGTGTACAAAATACATTTTAAAAGCAAAAGTTAAGAAAAAACCTAAAGTCAAACTGCGAACAGTCAGATTTGTGTCCTTTACAGAGATCTGGGTTCTTTGATTTTTACATTTTAGGAGCTTTAAAATGCAAAATAAATCAGTGATTAGAAAGAATTTGTAGAAAACCTGCAGATGTTTTGGAAGCAGAAGCATTACTGCTGTTTATGTGTAATAATTCAGTTTTATCCTGCAAATCTGGCTTAATTTAGGATTTTTTTATGCCTAAAAAATTTTTTTTTCTTGTTTGTCGCATGCAAATTCACATTTAAAAGCAAAACTTAAGAAAAAACTCAAAGCCAGCCTGCTGACAGTCAGATTTATGTCCTTTACAGTGATCTGAGCTGTCTGGGTTCTTCTCATTTTTACGTTTCAGGGGCTTTAAAATGCAAAATGTCTCACTGAGTGCAAAGGAAATGTGAAAAACTTGCACATTTAGTTTGGTAGCAGAAGCATTACGGCTGTTTTACTTGAAATAATTCAGTTTTATCCAACAAATCTTGTGTTATTTATGATTTTTCATTACTGAGAAAACTAATTTTTCTTGTTTGTCACGTATAAATTCACATTTTAAGAGCAAATTAAAGAACAAAAACCTAAAAGTCAACCTGCTAACAGTCAGATTTATGTCCTTTACAGTGATCTGAGCTGTGTGGTCGTTTGATTTTTTACGTTTTAGGGATTTTAAAAAGTAAAATGACTCTGAGTTTAAAGAAAAATGGAAAAAACCCGCACATTATGTCTGTTTTTATCAGTTGTTAATGTGCATTATTCAGTTTTTTCCTGCAAATCTTGCTTTATTTGTGATTTTTTATGACTAAGAAAGTCCATTTTGTCTGTTGGTCGCATGTAAATTCTCATTTTAAAAGCAAAAGTAATAAAAAACAGCCTGAAGTCAACCTGATGATAGTCACAGTTATGGAAAGAACGCTTTGAAAACTGTGTGTTATGGACTGAGAGGTTCTGCAGAACCCCAGCTCAGTAAAAGTAAAATAAAAGTCTGCTCAGGTGTCAGTGTTGCCCCAGAAGTCTCCACACAGGGCAGAGGTCCGGTCCAAAGCGTGTCCTACCTGCTGAATGCAGTCCAGGCTGCAGTCCTGGGGGCTGATGGCACCGTCCGGATCAGCGCCCTGAGCCCACAGAGGCCCAGCCAGCGCAGAGAGCTGCAGCAGCACCAGAGTCCACGGGCCCATGCTGAGCTCCAGAACCAGAGCCGGCCCGGAGGAGCCGCCGCTCGCGCACACACCGAACTGAGGCGCAGGAGCCGGAGCGCGTCGAGGAGGCTGCTGCGATCCGGAGGAGGGGAGTGGTGGCCTCAGGCTGCAGGAGGAGGAGCAGCAGCCGACAGACATGTTTTAACCGCTCACACTCCCACAAAACACACCCAGCTCTGGTTTCCATCACAGCCGGAGCAGCTTCATGTCACTGAGCTGGAGGTGGAATTATATAATAATCTGATCTAATAATCAGAATATACATGTACAGACTTTACTGCTCACATGTGGAGGATCAGTCACGAGTCTGAACAACAACAAAATAAACGTCTGGAACAAGAATCAGTGACGTGGAAAACTTTAGCTTCACTGGTGTTTCTGATAAATTATCATATTATACAGGGACATTAATTAGTAGTAAAACAATAAACAAAAACAGCCTGAAGGTTTGGCTGAAGTCAGATATAATAATTAACTTTTATTTATTAGTATTAGACTTTTTTTTGTCTCTTCTTCTGTACCTGTCCAGAGACAACAGAAGCTTTAAATTGTGCACCGTTCCTGCAAAAAACACACAAATAAACTAAAAAAATAAAAGTTCTCAGCTGCTGTTGGCTGAACATTTGTGCTGATTTGACATTATTATTATTATTAATAATTTAAATATCAGTGAGTAAAGTTATAACTTTTGTCCTACAGGCCTTTTAACTGTAACGTAATTGGCAATAATTATTTATGTCTGCTTAAAAAAAATAAATCTAAAATAATTCTGCAGGTCTTCAGGCAGCAAGAACTCTCAGTGGTTTTGTTTAATTTTCTTGATTTTTCTGTCTGTTGTCGAACAATTATGTTGCAGAGAAAGAGCAACAAGAACGGAGTTAATGTGACGCATAAATAGTTTGTATTGAACAAAATGAGGAAGATTTTACATTTAGGGTCATAAAAACCAAAGCTGAAGGCTGTTTTTATTATAATTACCTCTGAATGTGTTCACTTAGTTCTTGTGTGCATATTATAAATATATATATATATTTGAAAATAGGAAAGAGAACAGAGCTAGAATATTTTAAATGATAAAGTCGTACATCTAAAAAAGAAAAAAGTTGAATATCGTGAAAAAGTAATTTTTTGTGATTTCATTCAAAAACTTTCATAAACAGTCGTGACTCGATAATCGACCCTTAACAATCCAGAACCTGCTATCTGACCCATAAAAACAGCCTGAACATAGCGACAGCCTTGATATCCGACATAAAAGAAGGTTTTACATTTAGTGTCAGATCATCGAGTCACGACTGTATTCTGCATTTATTGCAGGTACAGTGACATATTTCATCCCCTTACTTATTCATAATTGTGATGATTATGGCTTATAGCTCACGGAGTTATTAGAATATTTCCTAAGATCAAAAACAATGGATTTAAAATACAGAACTATCCAGCTCCTACATGTAAAGTTGGTTTTATTACGTCAGACTTTGCTTTCACAGTGTTGATTTCTGTCACTTTTATTCCATCTTTCAGGATATTTTGCACCACTTACCACCTCTTCTTGTGTGTTTTGTATTTCATACCTGGTTGTGGCTCCTTTACTACAAACTACTGCATCAGTAACCAGGGAACCAGTAACAGCGGCCTTCAGCTCATCTGGTTTCTTGGTTGAAGCACCAGAGTCAGGGAACCGTTGGGTTGTAGTTCTGGCTCTACGGGCAGCTGCTGCAGAAGGAAATCAGCATCTCCATGAAGCTTGTCAACAGATGGAAGCATGAGAAGCTCTAGAATCTCCTTTAAGTCACAGCGTTGACTTTGGATTTAATGAAACACAGCGAGCCAACACCACATGGAGAGGCACCGCAAACTGGACCTGAACCACGCTGGAATCTGTTCAGCCGCCCTCCAGCTGAAGTGGAAAAAATCAAGAGCGGGAACAACACGGGGGTACTTTCTATACCTCGAGGGGGCATCTCACCCCAGTTTACCCCACATCCTGGTATTTGCTGGGAAATTCTTCCACATTGCGGTCGATTGAAACGTCCCCGGTTCAGCTCGGGTTACGTTCAACCACCTGAACGAGCGGTTTGTGGACCTTGTTTTGTTCCTGTCGCATGTTTTCCACTGAGATGGAAACAGAACGACCACGACTAGACGTAGAGAAAACTGAAAAATCATTAAAAATCATTAAAAAATAAACGACAAACTGCAGTCAAGATGTTCCAGCCGTCACCAACACGTGATAAATAAGATGTTTCACTCATATTTACATTTTTACAGCCTCTTCAAACTCTGTTTTTTCATATTTCACCATATTTCCGACAACTCGCTCATCTGTAATGTATATTTTTTGTTTTATTTTGCGGTTTTAAGCTCCGGTTTCCTTTGATTTTTTTCCACAACAGAACCGTACATCACAAGAAAGTTGAATATGTGACATGTGCTCTTGTTTGTACAGCGTCTGGCTCTGATAAACGGTGTAACGTCTGTGAAGACCCTCAGTCCTCCAGGTCATGGTTGTTCTCGTAGATTAATCGTAGCAGCTGGACTCGCTTCAGTCTCTTGAAGACGTTTCATCCAAGAGGCTTCATCAGGTCTGACTGACTGGTTGGGAGTTCCAGATATCCTTAAGGAGACGTTAACACCTGAGTTTCGGTTTCAACTGGGGCTTTGTTTGTTTCAGTCTTAAGATCTCTCCCCAGGAAGATGAAACCACGTCCACATCTAGCCGACGTTAACGAACCCCACTGTGGAGAGGTGGAACGTCTTCAAGAAACTCAAGCCTTAAGTCCAGTTGCTACGATTAATCTACGAGGACAAACGGCCTCATTTGGGAGATTTTTCAACCTGTCGGAGGTTTTTTTGGGGTACAATTAAAGATTGAACCAGTCGTCTCCAACTTCTTTGCCTTCACTGTTGAACCATCTTCTCCTCGGTCTTCCATCCGAGCAGAGTTTGACTTCGTCTTTTATCGTGCTGCATCTTTAAATTTTCATTGTTCTAATATGTTTATTTTGCAGCACGTGGATTCAACTTCTGCTTCTAATGAGCTTCACGAATCCGTCCGACTTCTCAGAAACAGCGGTGAGTCATAAATCAGATGTCAGCTCGGTTGTCAACAGCTCCACCAGAGAGGCCGAATGTTTTGATTTAACAACACTTAAATGATCACACATGTCGTCGGGGAAGTCCAACGACTGGAAACATGCGTGCGCTTTGTTTAGATTTATCTGTCGATATAAAGGAGCTCAAACTGCAGCAGCTACTGACAAACATCATAATTAATAATCTAACGAAGCGAGCCGTCCGAACAGATCAGTCGAAGGACCCGAGCTGCTGCAGCGCTCCACATGCAGGGTTTTCACTCTTAATGGAGAATTCTGTTTGTTTTTTTAGACGTCTTCATCCTGACCGGCTGCTTCGGTTTACAAAGACCTGTTTCCTCTTTATTCTTGGCGCAGCGAGGAGCTGCTCTAATGACGCTAGGGATGCTAACAGAAGTCACTAATTGCTTTGGATGCTCTGACAGGATTTGGATCTCTGCTCCCTAAAATTCTTGTTAATTTTCCCAAAAAACTGGAACAATCCGCCTCATGCAGCACGATCACTTTCAGGCCGTTGATTGCTGCTCATGAAACACGGTTTATCAGTGAAAGGTGGCGTTAATGAAGCTGAAACTAGCAAAACAAAGGTTTATTCATTGATTTATGTTGCACAGAGTTGAATCTGGTGCATCTGACACTGCACATGAAAAGGTAAGTTCTGAACCCCGTTGTTCTTAGTCTTACTTCTCCTCACCTTAAATCGATTCCTCAGTGGGTATCGCTCTTTGGTTTTGCGAAGCTTCTGGAAGTTTTTTTTTTTGCTCTTTAGATGCCGTTTGTTCACCACTCGCTTCATATTTACAGCGTTTATCTTTTTATTTGCTTCTGTAAACTGTGGAAACAATCCAGAGCAGCAACGTAGTGAAGTTGTGGGTCGTAAAAACCAAAAACCGAGTGACCCCATCCAGTTGGACGCATTGTTTATGGACAAACATTGATCACAGCTGGTTATTGGAACCACAACGTCCACTGTAGCAATAAAGCAAACCCCATAAAACAGCTCTAAAGCTTCAAAGTTACCTCTATTTTCTAAATGATTGTGTTTTCGATCACACGCTGTGGCACATCGACCCAGAAATGTGTACCTCCATGACTTGGTAGGAGACGACTGCAATTACAGAAATATGTGAAGATAAATTCTGCAGCTGGAATATTGCCCGGCTCAGTTTGACTATTGTCTCCACCCAAACCTTACTGCTACACTAAACCTTCAAAGCTTCACAGCACAAAGCAGCATGTTGGGGAGGTTAAACTGATGGTACAGAAGTGCTTTAGTGTTGTTGAATCTCTGAGGATCAGTTTATGTTTAAGTTGAAAAACCTGACCGGGACCAAACCTGAACAGTGCCTAAAGGGAAACCCGGTGATTTAGTACGAAATGAAGCGTGCCTACACTGCAAAAAAACAAAACAAAAGATGCTGTTTGTATATTTTCCTGATTTCTTCTCAGAATTGTTCTGCCTGCGGGGACCGGCATGTTGGTTCTGTTCATGGGGCCAAATTAATCAAAGCTTTCCTCAGTGAGTCACAGTCAGGCTCCTTTTATTCGGCACAGATGCTCCAACATGTTTGTGATTTATGGGGCTATTTACACATGGACAACAGGTTCGGTAACACAAAGTAAAATCATCGCCGCAGTCGTTCTTTCAAATCTTGAAAAAGCTACGATGAAACGTGGTAACAACAAAGTAAGATCAGATGGAACCTGAAACGTTTGCGTCGAGGGTTCCGCGGACTGGCGGCGGCTTCATCGGATCTGGAAGACAAAGAAAATACGAAATTACTCCACGGAACCAAACGCCGGAGCCGAATCCAGCTAGAATTCAAGGACTGTGTCTCTTTGGTGTTCACATGCAACAACAGTACAAATAATCCACTTCAAACTCGGTGGCTGCACCACTGGCGACCCAAGGAGGAGCGGTGTCGGGTTCAAAGCAGATCGGATAAACGGTGGAGGTTTTAGGGGCTTTTTGGGGTCTTCAGTCTGGTTTTGGGCTGCCTTGGGTTACTGAGGTTCAAGCTCTAGTACCACCAAGCTGACACTGTTGTGCCCTTGAGCAAAACCCTTAACCCTGCACTCTGATCCCTAACATATGAGATCATTTCCCCTCATGGGATCAATCAAATACATAAAATAAATGAACACAAGGAACCTCAGATTTAACCACCGACTGTCTGCACTGCATTGTGTGTGAGTTGTAGCAGTAATGTGAAAGAAAACGTACAGAATAGTCCTTTTTCACCTGGACAGGTAAGGAAGGGATAAATCAGGTAGCATGAAGGAGAACAGTGTGAGGAGTGCAAACCGCAGAAAAAGGGGAGATTATTTATACGTTTTTGAACATCTTGGCTTTAAAAAAGTGCACAGCAGTGAACAGAACCGCATTTGTTCCAAAAAACTGGCTGGATGCGCTGGAATTTCCTGAACAACAGGGAACCACAGACGGAGATCTGATTCCATGGGCAGCATCAAATGAGGTTGCTGAACTACGACTGCTTGGACGGCGCTGAACCTCCAAGAGTTGAGACGAGCCTCCTTTTCCACAAATCTTCTCCTGTTCTCATCCCTGAGGCTTTGGTTTGAACTACTCCTCTTCTACCCTCCTTGAGCCCCTCACAAATACACCCACACCCCTTAGCCCATGAACTGAAATGAACTGTACTCATGCAGGACTAAAGCTGCTACGTCCACCTTTCACACAGTTCTCG